TTCCACATACTGTACATTATTGTTTCTCCTCTATGCCCCGCCTTTCTGAAACGCTTCGATTTTTACAAAGCTCATCGGTCGCTTAGTTTACCGCGGAAGCGGTTGCGGCTGTGAAGGCCGAAAGACCGAAGAGTATAAAGACCATCGACTCCACCGTGCGACTCCACCGGGCAGGACACCGGCAAAGGATACGTATCGGTTTTTATTTCTCCTCTTTCTTACTACTTGTTTCACTTCTGTTTTAGTTTTTTATAACCATTTCCTACTATGTGTCAGTAAGTTGTTGTTATTTTAGCATGTGTGTTTGGCTCAGTGTTATTTTTTTTAGGATTACTGATAAACTAATGTACTTTGATTTGTATTAGTTATCTATTTTAGTTTTAGTTACAGTTGTAGTAATGTTGTCATTTTATTAGTTTAGTTTTTTTATTATGTCTATATAGGTTTTTTATTAAGTTTTAGTTTTATTTAATTTGACTTATTTCAGTACTTCAACATACAAAATGGAAATGAAATAATATATATATGTTGAATGTATTTATATATATATGTACATGTTGTATATGTATATGTGTGTGGCTGTACATACACATATGTAGTTGTTTTTTTGGTGTTTGGCTTAGTGTTATGTTAGAATCATTATTATACTCATACCGTTTGTTCTTTTAATATTTTGAATTGTTTTTAGCTTTACTTTTTCTTATTTGTAAGTCGCTTTGGATAAAAGCGTCTGCTAAATGACTAAAAGGAAAAATTGAAATAGCATCATATGACCCCTTTAAGCCTTCAAATATTTTAATAAAATTATTCAATTTAATTTGAGTGCTCTCATCGGTATGGTGTCTATAATATAATTTCCAGTTAAATATAAATTAGTAAATCTGCCCATTTTATAAAAATGTTTTTGTTCTTTCATTCTCATTACAGTCTTTCTTGGCTGGTTGGATGGTCATTTATTTATTTGTTTGTAACTAAATATGCACCTATTTATTGTTCACAATAAGACAAGGGAACTTGCAATAGCGTAGGCTAATTAAAGTAAATCGGACCTGTTTTGATTTCATGTAGAATTTATTTTTTCAAGAGAAATAAATAAGTAAATAAATAAAGAAAGAATGAATGAATTAAAGAATGAAAGAATGTAGTGGTTTAGGTTTAACCATTGGAAGTTATTTTAGTGCTACCTATGACACTGTATAGAAGTCATAGTCCAAGAGCAATCCACAGAAAGATTTAACATCTACTGATGTTACCACAAATATTGAAATACAGATTTCTTAAAGTAAGATTCCCCATGAAAATACTGTATGTGAAGTTAAATACACAACCATCTATGGACATCTTGGCAATAGAAATGCCATTGCCTACACTGAAAAAAATTATTAATTGAATTTACTACATTTTTTTAAGGTAAGTGGTTGCAATCAATTTATTTTAGCTTAATTTAAATAAACAAATTTAGTTGACTAACTTTCAAAAAAAAAAATTTTTAATGTAGCTAAAATAAATTGTTTGCGATCCCTGACCTTTAAAAAATTCTATCATTTTTTTCAGTGTAGTACATTTTTTAGTTTACTAACCAAACTAATATGATTACATATTTAATATAATTCTTTTTCAGAGGACGTCACACAGAAATCAATCTCAGGCAATCAACCAACTGACCCTAAAAAAGGTATATTCGAGAGATTTGATTGGAAATGGCCTATGAAGTCAGAAGGTATGTTTTCTCAGATGAATTCTTTCTTTAACAATAAAACTTCCCTGCTCTATGGCTAAATATTAAAAAATGGATATTATTATTTAAATACAGTGCCCTTTAGATAGAGACCTCATAAGACAAATTATGAGGTCTCTATAAAATATTAAGTGTTAGGCACTAAACTGCTTCTGCTAAATCAACATCTGATCAAATTGTCTTCGTGGTCTATTTCCAGCTGACATGAGCTCTATAACCACTTCTTTATAAACAGGGCCAGACACAAAAAAGGAAAAACCTCAGTTATCTCTTCCTGTAAGTGAAAATTAATTTCCTATAATGTGTGTTTGTTATAATGTGACTGTGGTAACGAAGAAGGACTTCAAAGCTCTTTATTTTCAACCAGTGTTATGTGCGTTTGTTTACTTAATTTTAGTTAACTGCTTAAACACTCCAGTTTTTGGTCTAGAAAGGGTTTTTGGACTCAAGGACTCTCCATAGACGAAGGTAGGCTCATATTCTGATTTTTTCATATGAGAGCTCTAAAAAATGACGTGAATAGCCCAGAGTTGTCCATGTCATTTGACAATCCAACCAGTCTGAGTAGTTATGGGGTGGAATGACACGTGTAGCTCTTGGACCACCTCATCTCTGAATTAAAACGCTTCCATATTGTGATAAGATCCTTTTACTCCCTCCCTATATATGTTAATGTTCTAACATGATTTTCATCTGAACACTGACAGTGAGTGAGCAAGTTAAATGTGATACGCTTTAAAGCAGAAGTCTGTTATGCTGACCAAAGCTGCTTTTATTTGATGAAAAATACAGTACAAACCGTAATATTGTGAAATATTATTACAATTTAAAATAACCGTTTTCTGTTTCAATATATAAAATATAATTTATTCATGTGATAAAAGCTGAATTTTCAGCAGCCATTACTCCAGTCTTCATCCTTCAGAATCAATGCTAATATTCGGAAGCAAGTTTTAGTCATTTTTCGCGCAAAATGGTTTTAGCGCAACTTTTAAATTTCTTTAAAAAGAAGACAACAGAAAAGGTAGGATTTTTCCTTCATTAGAATTTAAAGATTCCCCTGACATAATGTTATTGTGCTGTATGTGTAACTGTGAGGGACTGAGACTATAGGAGAGCTGACATTATCGAGTCATCGTTTTTGCAAAAACCAAACAAAAACACGTCTTGAGTGTCCAAAAGCATTCATTGCGCGATGAAGCCTGTTAGAATACAGTTAAAATAACCTTATAATTCAAGCAATTAAAGAAAAAATACCCATGTATGAGTTTTTATGTTTTTATATTCATTGCACAAGCAATGTACTTTTCTGAATATCAGTATGCGCGAGCACAAATATGCTATTAATTTTATACAACAGTGCATAGCAACACGGTGTTTCGTTCCTTGAACAGTAAACAGTCCTCCAAAAAATGTGCTGCACACATCTGGATATTTGGGTTAAACTGTTCTGGAACAGTGTTGTAAATACAACTTAACCACTGATTTGTAGTCGTGTCCTCTTTTGGAAGACCAAACAAAGTAGTTTCGCTTTCACAACGAAAAACACAGCGGCCTAGCGGAAGCCCCGGCTTAGCGTGAGCTGAGGCCGGGCTAGAGTGAGCAGAGGCGGCGGGGTTGAGAACGGCGCAGCCGGCGGATCCGACGAAGGAGCAGCAAGCACATGTGACGACCCCGGGCTTCGTCCACGGTGAAAGCCGATCCGGCGATCCACAGCACTAAGTTGATGTATTCCCTCAGCGACCAGCACAGATCAGCTCTAGGCATGATGAAGCGGATATCGTCCTCTTTTGGAAGACCAAACAAAGTCGTTTCGCTTTCACAACGAAGCACCATGTCTTCAGGACATGGCGGAAAGCGGCAACAACTCACAGTCAAAACTACAGTGAGAATAAAAGTTACGCCGCCTTTCTTTGCGTGAACATTTGGGCGGTGTTATGCAAATCTTCCCACATAGTGAGGTAGATATGTGGGGGCGTGTTAGAACGAGCTGTTTTAGGTAGGTGTGGCTGACTCTTAACTTTTATAAAGAATATCTCTTTGGATTTGAGACTTTAGTCTTTGCAACTTTACAGATCTTCTTTATGCACCAAGAGCTTGTAACACTCCAAAGAGAAAGGAAAAATTGAAATCGCATCATATGACCCCTTTAATGATGGCTAACTTTCATCAATATCAAGGTCTCAGGCTGGAGGATGGAGGACCAAGGAAATGAGGAAGCATTAAATTGAGTGTTAAGAAACACTCATGCAAATTGCACAGTGCTGTGGATCCTCAGGACCAGGATTAAGAACAACTGTTTCAGACTAAACACTTGATATCCTACTCAACTTGATTGAGTAAAGCTGGTTGTGCGATAGCTTTACATTTTTCACTGCAGTTCTCAATTCAGCTGACCTGTGTGTCTCTTGAAAATCCTTTTTCCCAGAACACATCATGTTGTCATCAGATTCAGAAGATGAGCTCAGTGACCCTTTAGAAGCAGAATACAGGAGACAATTAAGATTGAAACAAAGCTTAGGTATGGACCTTTACATTTTATAAACTGTAATTAAAAAATTATTCCTCTTCCATTATTTTTCCTGCTCCTTCTTTCTCTCAGCCCATTCTGAGAAATCCCCTTAATGTTTATCAATGGGAAAATCGTCAGTAATGACTAGCAATCAAACACTTCATTATTTTGTGGTGTAAATAACTTTTAGAAGAAGTTAAGCAAATAATTTCTCAGTTCACTGTTGGGAAGCTTTTATTTAAACATTTTCAGTTATTTATCATATATAAAGGTAGCATTCATCATTTGATTTTAGTGCTTATGTTGCATTCAGTGATAACTCTGGAATGTAGTCACCACTTAGTCACCACTGATAAGCTACTACTATATATATTGTAGAAACATAATTTTCTGCAAAGCTGCTTTGCAACTATTTGTATCATGAAAAGCGCTATACAAATAAACTTGAATTGAATATTTACCTTACACAACTAAGACAATACATATAAATCAGCATGTTAATTTAATAAATACCTAAATATGATAATCTTCCATAGAATAAAGCATGTGCTTCTGTTTCAGAAAGCTGTTTGTTTTTCTACATTTCCCAGAATAGACATATTATATCATAACTATGAGTAAATGATGACAGAATTGTCCATTTTCCCTTTAAGGTCATTTCAAACTTACTCCTAAAGCATTATTACATTGTATTCATACTGCTTTATACTTAATCCCAAGTTTATCTGACATGAACTTTAATTATTTTCAAGGATGGTCACACAGGAGGACCTCTGAAGACCCTTCTGATGTAAGTGAAAAGGGATTTTCTGTGGTGTGTTTGGTGTAATGATGAGACAACGATATACATGAGGTGTCATCATTTTTAACCATTGTGTATCTATGTCTTTTAAAATGGCAAATGTCACAAATGTGGGCATATCAATACTGGAACTTTATTTGGACATGATACTGATGGGTGAAAGTGATATGATTTAACAAATCTTTATACATCTTGCTTTTAAATCTTTTAATCAACAGAAATTAATTTGTCTTCTGTGAAAAAGGACATAGTAGCTACTAGTTCTACATGTAGTAGCCTGTATTTCCACAATTGGCATTTCGTATAGTTGTCTAACAGTCTCTTACAACTGCTTGGAGACATTTTTGTCCATTCTTCCATACCGAACGTTTTTAACAGTGTGATATTGAAGGGGTTTCATGTATGTGTATATTCACTCCAAGTCCCCATAGCATTTCAGTTGGATTGAGCTCCTGAATATACTTTTAGGCACTTAAATTATTAAATGATTGAATTATAATGCCTTCTACCTGTTAATATCAGTGAAATGCCAATCCTCGCCTATGTTCTAATATATTGGGAAAACACTCATTGATGACCATAAATTATGTAACTGTCAACAATGGAAGAGAGATCATAACACTGTCAGCTGGTCTGCTTTCATAAAATCTGCTTTTATATTTTTTAATGCTAAAAGCAGATCTGCACAAAGATTTTAGAATAATTATTTAATGGCAAAAACATACCAGTAATATTGGAAGAGAATTGGCCAAGTGTGTATTCAAGTAGTGGTATAATTTGAAATGTATGAGTTTATGCAGTGACACTGAACTCCTATTAAACAAATAAACCTGGTGATGTACATACAACATTTTGTAGACTTATTACAGGAATCTAACCAAAACACAAAGTGATATAGTTTATATTTATAAACTTTTAAACTATTCAAATATTTCAGTATATAAGCTATAAATAGAAAATATAATTTCTTAATTTTTAACATCAACATTTGAATGATTTACAGTATTTTTGAAAAGCAGTAAGTATAATGCAATGTTATATTTTCAGTTGATTCAATATAGTAAATTTTTACATTTTCCTGTAGGAGCTCAGAATATCAGGATCTTTGTTTGGATTATCAGAAGGCCTACTATTTAAAAGGACTCCACACAGCCAGTTTGGGGTGACAAGTAGGCCCATATTTTGACTCTGCTTTGGAAAACCTGCTCCTAAAAGAATATTAGATTGTCTTCATACTGCTTTATACTTCGTCCTCAGTCCATCTGGCTGCCTCTAATTCTTTTCAAGCACTGAAAGCAAGAATGAGGAAATCACTTGCACATTATTGAGAACATTCTTTTACAGAATCTCACCAGAACACAAAATAATATAATTGAATGTTTTTTGTTTATTTTTAATATTAATATTTTAAGGATTTAAAATATTTTTTAAAACCAGTAGGTATAATGCAATAGTAAGTTGCTTTCTGTTGAGTGCAATACACACATACGTTTTGTTAATTAATTATCTGGCTTTCCTTTAGGATCTCGTATGATTGTACATCAATATAAGCGGTCAATCCTACAGAAGTATGAGAGTGAGTGGAGCTCACTGTCTGGTGAACGAGAGTCATTGTCTGCCAGTGATTTCCCATTCGGGAAAAGGAAAATGGCAGATTTAAGAACATCAGTGTGGACAAATTGTTGATGTCATATGGTACAATGACATCAAATGTCATTCTCCAAGGTGACTCTGGCAGTGGCAAATCCATCATAGTACAGAAGATCATGTTGAACTGGGCATCTGAAGCTTCTAAAAATTTGTATGTGGTTTTCAATCTGAGATGTGAGGAGCTGATGTGTGTTTCTGAGGAGATTAATTTAACTGAGCTCTTGAGCTACAGCTGTAGTTTAACATCAGATCAGATCTCGCAGATGTTACAGCAGTCACCAGAGAAGATGCTTTTCATCATTGATGGATTTGATGAGCTGAGACTCACACAGGACATTTATGACATGTCAGAAGCACACACTCATCCGCTTCAAAAAGCCCCACCTAAGGTCATTCTATGTTCCCTGTTGAGGAGATACCTCATCCCTAAATCCAACCTGCTGGTCACCACCAGAACTAACAACACAGTGAACAAGCTGCTGAAAGGACAAAATTGTTTCACTGAAATCATGGGTTTCTCTGAGAAGAAGGTGGAGACATACTTCCAGATGTTCTTCAGCAAAGAGTATGCCCGTGTGAGAGCAAATGAAACCCTCCTCACTGCCTGTTCCAGTCCTGTTATCCGCTGGATAATTAGTGAGATGTTCAAGGTTGGTGCAGATGTAACAAGTGAACTGCAAACCACCACCTCCATCTACGCTGACTTTGTGTCCACTCTAGTGGAGCATCACTGCCAGGGTTTGAGTCAGTCTGTGCCGAACCTGCTGAGGAGTCTGGGTCAGCTGGCAGAGAGAGGGATGCTGGAACAACAAGTGCTGTTTGATGAGAAAACTGTAAATGAATCCATTTCAGAACCTGCTGGCAGTCCATTCCTGTGCAACTTCCTCTCTAAGAGAAGAATCCATCAGGAGACCATGTTTAGTTTCATGTATCATAGCTTTCAGGAGTTCTTCACTGCTCTGTACTATGTTCTTCTGGATGAAGAAGAGTCTCAGAGGAAAGTGAGGGAGCTGCTTCACACTGTAGAGAGAGGATGGGCTTTGTCCTTTTGGCCTCAGAGAGATTTTTCAACAGCAGATGTAGAAGTAAGACAGTCAAAGCTGCTGCAGCCTGTGATTCTGTTCCTCTGTGGTCTCTGTAAAAAAGAATGGATCCCATCATTTTTTGAAAAGCACAACATGGCCCTTTCTATCAGCATAGAAACCCAGCTTAAGGAATGGATCAATCAGTGTTCACAGAGATCTCAAAGTGAACACATGCTGCTCATCCTCCATTGTCTCTATGAGCTTCATGAGAAAAGCTTCATTAGGAAAGTGTTAGAAAATTTGATTTTGATAGATCTGTCTAATACTCCACTGAAAAGGACAGATTGTTGGGTGTTGAAGTGCTGTTTACAGTGCTGTGAACACATCAGAAACCTGAAACTCCATGTAACATCTGATAATCTGAAGATGCTCCAGCCTGAACTGTACCACTGTAAAGAGCTGTGGTGAGTGAAATTTAGACTTTAGACAGACACGTGACATTATTCATTATCACAATAATTATTTATATTTATGGCAATTACAATACATTCACTTCTCTTGAAGCTCTGTGATGTCAAATTTGATCTGTTTTAAAACTAAAGCAAGAGTGCTGTAGTACTGAATAGCAGCACAGCTGTGATTCAGCATAGAGGATAATGTGATATTCAATACTACAGCAGTCATTATCATGTGATATTGATTTGATATGATGTATTAAGAAAATGTCATCAGTTCACTGAACAAGAAGTTCATATTGAGTTGCTTGCATTTCAGTGGAAATATGGCCAGTTAGATTATATTTTTCTCTGCCATCAAAAATAGTTACAAAAGAAGCCAAACTGTCAATCATTTCAAGCTGGTCAGAAACAGAGTGAGTAGGAAAGAGAGACGGCTGTTTCCTCTCCATGCTTACTCTGGGTTTTCATGCTCAACTTCATTTTTTCCACCCCCTGCTTATGCCATAGTCACTGGGAGTCCCTTTTCTGAACCATATCAGAGTGAGAGAAAATGTTGATTCAAAAAAATTCTAAATTAAAAAAATAAATAAAAAATACTATACAAGCAAAATTGCACATTTTTGCATGTTCAAAACATCTCCCATACTTTGGTCTGAAACACTGCACATGCAAACCTGAAATAACTGTGTATAATGACAATCAACTCTGATATACTGTGTTGTTTTACTTTGAAAGGTTGATAATGGATCACATTTCAGATGATGTTGTTGGTTTGGTCTCAGCTGCTGCTGAAGGAAAGAATCTGAATAAACTCAAGTAATGTATAATTGATTTTAGAATAACATTGTAAATACTTATTGCCATATTCAGTTATTTAGTATATTAAATCAATTTTATGTAATATATAAAAATTAAATGCACTTATTAAATGATATACCTGCCAGTATAAAGAAGCTTGAAAACTATGGAAAACTAAGTGGATTCCACCCAGAGATCACTGTGTCAGTCAGAGATGGAGACATCAAGTATGAAACTCAATCACTTGTCACATACAAAATTACAGTCTCGTCCTAACACCTGATGCATAATATAAACCTATACTAATGTTTTATCTGTGAATGCTTCAGGTTGTCTTTTTGCACATCAGAGTTCACATCAACAGTCGCGGAATTAACTCTAACCTCTCCTCGCTCATTTATTTCCACCATCAACTGGGTGAAATCACAGAACAAGCAGCCGTTGTTCAGTTATGGATATTTGTGAGTGAAATCTTTCGTTCTTTCTTTTTTTTCCAGATAATACCCCCTTAAGAATTGCTTTATCATATGCTGTTGCCATTTGCCATCAAAAATCAAAGGATTAGTTCACCCAAAAATGTTGTTCCAAGCCCAGAAGACTTTCTTTTATCTTTAAAACACAAATTAGTGTTTTGAAGATAAACAGAAGTCTTATAGGTTTACAGCAAAATGAGGGTGAGTAAATGATTTTCAATTTTCACTTTGATCGTGATTGGTAAATGTATTAGGTGTTTATTAGTGATAATCAGTTCAAATTTTTTTTTTTTTTACATTTTATTTAAAAAAAATAAAAGCATCTAAAGGTTTGTGCCACATTTACAAATTTGTGTGGGTTTTTGTGCTGTTTAGAAGTTCTGGGCAACAAGAAGTTAGACTGTTGACGTTCCTGCAATCAGTGTCTGGTTTGAAGAAAGTCTTTCTGCAGGATTCAGGTCTGACTGAACCATTTACCTCGGAAATCATGTCCCTCATTCAGGCTTGTCCCAGTTTGAATGAACTCAGGTAACAGCAATATCTGACCATTGAAGTAAATTTTATGCCATAGTAACACTTAAATATAAGGTTCCAGGTTATTTAATGCATTAACTAACAATGAGCAATACATCTGTTACAATATTAACTAATCTTGGTTTATGTTAGTTAATAAATATACAACTGTATATTGTTAGTTCAGGTCCATTAAATAATGTTAGCACAATTTTAGAGACATGATACAACTTAGGATTTGAATAATTAATAAATTAATAAAACTTTTTAAAGATTTTTCATTGTAAGTTCGAGTTAATGTAGTTAACTAATGTTAACAAATATGATCTTACTGTAAATTGTAAAGGCCTTTCTGTGTGGAGTTTGCATGTTCTCTCTGTGTCAGCGTGGGTTTACGCTGGGTACTCTGGTTTCCTCCCACAGCCCAAAGACACGCAGGTTAGGTGAATTGACC